ACAACTGACCTTTTTTGTAGTTAGTTAACAGGATTAATTTACATGATCCCTTTACTTTTGTCTGGGAAAAAGGTTGATATAGTCCCAGTTTAGATATAACTTGAGAGAGATTTATCATAAAAAAAACAATCAAGCAAGAACCTCAATATCTTTCTGTCACAGCCGCCCCCCTGAGGAGAGACCTGTCAAGCCATGTGGAAACCTGAATGGGCTTCCCAAGTACACGTGGGGGTAGTGAGTTGCTGCAGCTAGTAGGGCTGCTGCCAGGGGGTTATCAAGCAGTAGGGGAGGGGGGACAAGAAGGCTGGAGGCTAAGGTCAGGTGCTGTGGCCTTTGGCACCGGCCCCTTTTCCGAAGGTAAAAGAAAAGAGAGACTGGAGGCCAGGGTTAGGCGTCAGGGCTGTAGATGTCTGCCCCTCCTCCACAGGTAAAGGTGGACGGCAAGAAGGAAGAGAAGGAAGGGAAACTGATGGAGAGTGGAGTAGCAAAAGCAGATTACAAGAGAGACAAGAAAAGTTAAACCAGCTGGGTCAGCAATTGAGTTGTTAGAGGGAAAGCAGGGATCAGAGTTGTAAAAGGAATAAGAGAGCATGAAAGAGGTGAAAAATTTTTTGAGGGAGGGGTGGCCAAGTCAGCAGTATCATCATCCTCTCATGAGCCTACGGGCAATGAGATCTGGAAAACCAACACAAAAATACAGCAAGAGGAAGAGATAACTGGGTGGTGAGCTAACTCATAAAAGACCTAAACATATGAGATTTCAAGGTATTTCCCATTCTTTTTAAAGTACAAATCAAGCTGCAGAAGTGTGTTAGGAGCTAGGGAACCACCTTCCGGCCAGGTTTTGCCATTCCCCCCCTTATGGTTTCCCATGGTTCTTGTAAAAGGAAACAGGGATCCAATTGGGATGGGCTCTTGGTTTCATGGATTTGTTCCTGGGCCTTAACCATCCAGATCCCCTGCTGGGCATCCCCAACAGCTTCAAAGGAATCAGCACAAAGGATGTGAGTCATGAGGGAGAGAGTGTCCTCCTGTCCCTGTGCCCACCGGAGCTCGCAGAACGCTATGCTCCACCGGGTCTTGGAAGGCCTGGTACCAGGACTTCTGGCAATTGGGTCCCAGACCCTTGTTAGCTATCTCCCAAGATGAGAACTGGGAAAAGCCCGAGAGACCCAGAAACTCATCTGAACAGCAAAGCCTAGGGGTCCAAGAGCACGCATCCAAATATGTGGGTGTGTGGATGATAAATGAGGGGTGACTCACTGGAGGCACAGAAAGGCGCACCATGCAGCCATTGAAGTTTCAAGGTCCTTTGTGGAGTCGCTTTGCCAACCAGAAAAGAAAGGAGCAGAGAAACCAAGCACTTTGTCTCCCATCCATACGGGAGCTGGTGGTCCAAACTTTCCTTCTGGGACCTTCTTACCTTCCTAGGGAGTAGCCCCAGGCAGAGACCGTCAGTTGTCCTCCGAGATCCAGCCCGGTTCACGGGGAAACACAGAAATCTTGGCTAGAAGGAAGCAGACTTAACCTTAGTCCCTCACCCTATCGGGCCTCAGGGGTCTGATGTCTTTCCCTGCGACCTTCCAGCACGCTGAAGTGTAGCCTCAGCCAGAGCTTTCAGTTGCCACCAGGTTCCAACACAGTCCACAGAGGGTCACCAGTTGGAAACTAAGAAAGGAAGAGAGGGAGAGAGAGAGATAAATATAAGGATCTCGATTTGCTGGATTCAGAGTCCAGAGTGCTAACCATTACATCTTGGTGGGACCTCCAGAAAATGTTAGGGTACGGAGGGTGAGGGTGGATGGATGGATGGGGAGGTGCAGCACCATGTGCCAGAGGTGTGTGCTGGCAACCAGAGATCCGAGTAATGCAAAGATTTGCAACACAAAGAAGAGAAAGAAGAAAAGATTTATTTAAGAAAGGTTCACTCTCACAGACAGGAAGTAGGCCTACACTCTAGATGAGGCCCTGTAGCCCCCCAGCCCTGGCTTAAATCCTTTCCCCTGGAGATGTTGCAATCAGGTAGACGTGACTGCCGTGACTTCCCTGTTGACCACTTGTGGATGTCTTGGTCCTGGTCACCAGGCATTGAGTATACAATGGGTCGATGGTCATGCATGAGAAATCTGAGTTTCTAGAAAGACAAACTACAATAGGCCAGTACCAGTCCTGCTTAAGGAGTCTGTGCTTCCGAAAAGACAAAGTCGGCAAAGTTAATCTTTACTTAGAGCATGTATTTCTCCCAGACATAGCCTCTACTTTCTCATCATTGTCTTAGGGTTTAGGAACAGTATAAAAAATGGATTTCTCCAGGACATAGCTTCCTCTTTCTCATCATTGTGTCAGGGTTTAAGAACAAGATTAAAAAAATGGCTTCCCCCTCTCAGTTCGTCCCTTCAGAGGGCACTAGTCAGGTGGATTCTTCGAGAAGAGCATTCCAGGAGAGGCAACAGCAAGTGCAAAGATCCTGAGGCAAGAACTTGCAGAAAAAATTGGAAGGGGACAAAGAAGCCCAGCATGGCTAGAGCAAAGGGAGTGAGGTGGACAAGGAGCTGGTGGCCTTAGGGCCCTCATAATGACTTGGCTTTCACTGTGAAATGGAAACCAATGGATGGTTTTGAGCAGGGCAGTGACCTGATCATAGCTGTTTTCTTTTCTTTTCTTTTTTTTTTTTTGAGTTGGAGTCTCCCTCTGTCACCCAGACTGGAGTGCAGTGGCCGCTCCTGGCCACTGCAGCCTCGACCTGCTGGGCTCCAGCGATCCTTCTGCCTCAGCCTTCCAAGTAGCTGGAACTACAGGCGTGCGCTACCATGCCCGGCTAATTTTTTGATTTATTGTAGAGATGAGGTCTCACCCACCAAGTTGCCCAGGTGGGTCTCGAACCCGCAGGCTCAGGCAATTCACTCACCTCAGCCTCCCAAGGTGCGGGATTACAGGCTGAGCCTCTGAGCCCGGTTATTATAGCTGTTTTCAAGGAATTGGAAGAGGCCTCTGGTCTAGTGGGAACTGCAGGCTCTGGCTCTAGGATGAGTCACACCCTGCCCCATTCCCTGATGAGAAACCTTGGCCTCTCCTAGGTTTATCTTTATCTAGAAAATAATTCCAAAGATTTAGCCAGACACCCCTCCCTCACTGCAGCTGACCTAACTGGGCCAAGCTTTTTCATAGGTGGTGAGAGGGGAGGGGAGGGGTGGGGATAAAAGGGGAAAGGAGGGGAGGGAGCAAACCCAGAGGCTTGAATATTTAATGTGGAATTTCCTATCTCTAGGAAGACCACAGGTGGAAGGCAACTTGGCAACTTGGGGGAGTGGGTCATTCTGTTCACTAGTATCTAGCTAGCACCTACCTATTCTGAGTCTCAGATCTTCCTGGCTCAGATAATCAATAAACCCAATCACAGTCACTGTGACTAGAAATGGAGCCACCCACCACCCCAAGAATCAGACCTGTGGGTCCCAGCACAGGGTCTGCCTCCAGAAATCCATTCAGCTGCCCTGCTCTCATGGAAAGTGGCATTTCCTGAGGGTTTCTGCTATCTCCATGTCCTCCCAGTCAGGCCAGGCCCCTGAATTAGTCCTTTGGAGCCCTATACTCCTTTCCTTTAAAGCATTTCCATAGTTGGAATTTTATATCAATTAGTAGGATTCTTTGATCATTTCTCCTCCATCATTCTAGAAACCACCAGGCCTGGTGAAGGCTTTGTCTATTTATTTTACTGTTGTGGTCCCAGAGTCTTCCAGCACAGTGCCTGGCACAAAAGGGAACTTTCAATACTTGTTGAATGAATTAATGAATGACAGGAGAGTCAGGCAGGTAATGCTGTTCCCTTTTACAAGCAATAAAACAGAGGCCCAGATAGGAGGTCTGAGCTGGTCAGCAGAGCAGGTGACTGCCTTCTGGCCTAATTCCTACAGTGGGAGCACCCAGGAGCATAGGGCCACACCCAAGAGCCTCCCTGGCCCTCCACCATCTTCTACTACTATTCTGCTCTTCTAAAGGAACTGTAGAGTCAAACCCTGGCCTCAGAAACAAGACTAGTTTCCCAAGAAAGGATCCTAGGGCAGTCATGGAGCAAGTGACAGACTATTAGCAATAACAGCCCTTTCCTTTTTTTTTTTTTTTTAGTCTCACTCTGTCACCCAGGCTGGAGTACAGTGGCATGCTCACAGCCACTGCAACCTCCACCTGCTGGGCTCAGGCGATCTTTCTGCCTCAGCCTTCCAAGTAGACGGAACTACAGGTGCACGTCAACACACTTGGCTTATTCTTTGATTTACTGTAGAGACGAGATCTCGCCAAGCTGCTCAGGCTGGTCTTGAACCCCTGAGCTCAGATAATCCTCTCGTCTCTGCTTCCCAAAGTACTGGGATTACAGGTTTGAGCCACCACACCCGGCGACAGCACTTTCAATATAGCAGATACTATTTTCCCACAACTCTTTGAGACAAATTCTGTTAGCAACCCCACCGCACAGATGAAAAAAAAGAGGCGCAGGAGGTTAAGTAGCATGCACAAGAGTGGCAGAGCCTAGGTATTCCAACCCAGGTAGCTGGACTCAGCCCACTCTCGTCCAGTCCGGGTTGCCTGTTACAAGGCAGAACATCAGCCTAGGCTTCAGGAGTCATGTGCTCTACCCCTGCCTTGAGTGCCCGATGACCTGGTTTCCTCATCTGTAGACTGTGACCGTCTACAGGGTTATTGGGAAACTAATGCACGAAAAGGGCTTAACACCGTACCCAGCACATAGTAAGTGCTCGATAAATGTTAATTATTGATATTCTTGTTATGAACGTGTCTGAGCCCCCCGGGAGGGGCCTCAGGGCGGTATTTATGCACACTTTACAGGTGAGATCACCGTGTAGGCTGGGGAAGCGGGGCGGGGGAGAGGGAGGGCCCTCGCCGGCCCACACCCAGCCCAGAACACGCTGGTCGAGAGTCGGGGGACTCAGGCCCCGCCCTGCCGGTCATTTAAGAAGAGACCTTGGGCGCAGGCGCAGACACGCAAGCCCCGCGCCGCCAGGCCCAGGCAGCGAGTCGCACGCGAGCCCCTGCCCGGCGCCAGCCCGCCGCGCACGCATGGAGGGGAGCGCGAGTTCCCCGAGCCGGCCTGGCGCCCGCCCGGGGAGGGCCGTGCTGTGCCGCGGCCCCGTGGAGCCGCTGGTCTTCCTGGCCAACTTTGCCTTGGTCCTGCAGGGCCCGCTCACCACGCAGTACCTGTGGCACCGCTTCAGCGCCGACCTTGGCTACAATGGCACCCGCCAAAGGGGGCGTTGCAGCAACCACAGCGCGGACCCCACCATGCAGGTAGCGGTGCGGGCGAGCGGCGTGATGGGGAGGGACCTGGGCTGGAGCGGCCGAGGGGCGGGGCCTGTGGAAAGGTTGAGGGGCGCTGAGGGGGTTACGCTTGTCGGAGGGAGGCGGGGCCGGGGCAAAGGGGCCTGACCAAGAACTACAAGGTCAGGGATGCGGAAAGTTGATCTGGACGAAGCCTGGCTTTGAGCGTTAACAAAAGGGGGAAAAGAAAGGGGATAGGGCCTTGTCCCTTTCCCACACTCCCTCCAGTGTCAGATTTTGAGAGTTTTACTAAGATTCGCTGAGGCTTAGGGCTCCAGACAAAGTCCTCATCCCTGTAGCTTCCAGGGTGGCGATGTTTTCGGGGTTAGGCAACCCAGGATGAGGAACCGCAGCCTGGTAATTGTGCCTCCACAGGAAGTGGAGACTCTTACCTCCCACTGGACTCTCTACATGAACGTAGGCGGCTTCCTGGTGGGGCTCTTCTCGTCCACCCTGCTGGGAGCCTGGAGTGACTGTGTGGGCCGCCGCCCGCTGCTGGTGCTGGCCTCACTCGGCCTGCTGCTCCAGGCCCTGGTGTCCGTCTTTGTGGTGCTGCTGGAACTCCATGTCGGCTACTTTGTGCTGGGCCGCATCCTCTGTGCTCTCCTAGGCGACTTCAGTGGCCTTCTGGCTGCTAGCTTTGCATCCGTGGCTGATGTCAGCTCCAGTCGTAGCCGCACCTTCCGAATGGCCCTGCTGGAAGCGTGCATCGGCGTGGCCGGGATGCTGGCGAGCCTCCTCGGGGGCCATTGGCTCCGGGCCCAGGGTTATGCCAACCCCTTCTGGCTGGCCTTGGCCTTGCTGATAGTCATGACTCTCTATGCGGCTTTCTGCTTTGGTGAGACCTTGAAGGAGCCAAAATCCACCAGGCTCTTCACACTCCGTCACCACCGATCCATTGTCCAGCTGTATGTGGCTCCGGCCCCAGATAAATCCAGGAAGAATTTAGCCCTGTACTCATTGGCCATCTTCATGGTGATCACTGTGCACTTTGGAGCCCAGGACATCCTGACTGTCTATGAGCTGAGCACACCCCTCTGTTGGGACTCCAAACTAATCGGCTATGGTTCTGCGGCTCAGCACCTCCCCTACCTCACCAGCCTGCTGGGCTTGCGGCTCCTGCAATACTGCCTGGCTGATGCCTGGGTGGCAGAGATTGGCTTGATCTTCAACATCCTGGGGATGGTGGTCTTTGCGTTTGCTACCATCACACCCCTCATGTTCATAGGTAAAGTATGTGGGCTCAGGGACAGCTTGTCCCAGAGGCATTGGGTAAGAATTGAGGACCAGCCACTCACTGCCCCAAAATGTAGTTCGTTTGAATCCATAGTTCTGCCCCCAGCCTCCATTGGAGGACAGACAACTGAGAAGCCCCAGAAAAATGCCGTCTTTGATATATGGAGAATCCAGACCTTCAATCGCTAAAGTAATTAATCCACATTATCAGTTATAAATATTGTTAGTAATATAGAGCAAAAGACAAAAGCATGGCTCATACCTTCTAATTGCTTCACCCCTTGGCCTCCCACATGTCATGGTGTTCTTAAACAAAGTCCATGCCATTAATGCCTTAATATTCACTTCTCTGATAAGAATCACAGGACCCACCTCAAATATCCTTGTTTAGGTTCTTTGGGTTTTTTTAAAAAGCCAGTTTTCTAGGGCCACAGATATAAAGTTCCTGTTGACTGTAGTTCCTCTTCTCCTCTCCCTCTTCTTTCCCCTTCCCTGCCCTGCTTCTTCCTCTTCTTTTTTTCTGGTGGGAGAGGGGCTGCTGGCCGGGAGATGAGGAAGCGAACTTTTTTTAAAGAGACAGATTTACTTCAATAGAGTCCTAAAATGTTTCATCAGCCATTCAATAATCACAGGTTTCTTAACTCAGCTGTTTGTCTGACAGTGAAGCAGAAGGGGACCAAGTACCTTTCTCTCTTGCTGATGGCCCTGGGTGGCGCAGAGATGATGACGATGCTGTCATGGCTCTGGGGACCCTCAGCAGAATGAGATCTGGGGGCCTGATAACTGAAGGGGCCCTGGGTGCCTCAAGGTGTACCCACTTCGGAGGATTGGCTGTTTGCTGAGGAGATAGCGGTCACACAGGGAGAGGAAGGGTTCTGAAGAAAATAGTAAGCCTGTAAGTAACTTAGTGCAAGGGGAAAGGAGCTCACATTTGTCATGTCCTTACTGTGCCGTGCTCTTTATCATGGTTTACTTTCCTAAGGCTACCACAAACTTGGTGACTTGAAGCAACAGAGATTTGTTCTCTCATAGTGCTGGAGACGAGAAGTCCAATACCAGTATCACTGTCTGAATTCAAGGTGTCAACAGGGCAGCATTTCTTCCAGAGGCTCTAGGAGAGAATCTGTTTCTCACTTCTTCCAGCTTCTAGGAGCTGCCCCATTCCTTGGCAACACCAGTCTCTGTGGTCACATCGCCTTTTCCTACTCTATACCTTCTCCATTCTGTCTGTGTCACATCTCTGTCTGCTTTTCTTTTCTAAGGATATGTGTGATTGCATTTAGGGCCCAACCTGATAAAGGAGAATCTCCCATCTCAAGGTCCTCAACTGAATCACATCTGCAAAGTCCCATTTTTCAACTAAGGCAACGTTTACAGTTTCTGGAGATGTGAACCCAACATCTTTGGGTTTCATTATTCAGCCTCCTGAACCTCAGAACCACCCTGTGGTGAAGACCTAATTATCCTCCTTTTATAGACAGGGAGTCAGGCTCAGGGAGGTTAAGTACCCCGGGTCACACAGATAGGTCAAACAGATAATTCATTATGGCATCAGGTTTTGAACTCAGGGCTGACCCTGAAGCCCATGCTTGTTTTCTGGGCCCTGCCAGCTACCTGCTATAACCTCAAGAGGTGTTCTGATGAGAAAGCAATGGGTGAGAGTCAACATAATTCATCAAAGAGACAGCAGGTAGGCCAAGCCCAGAGAAGGGTGGTTTTCATTCCTCCTTGGTTATTGTCTCCTCAAAGATCTTCCTGGGTCTAACCTAAGTCCTACATGGGTATGTGCAGGAGCTCTGTTGCCTCTCATTTGGACATGCCTCTCCCCACCCCATTTTCCTGATGCATATTTATCTCTCCACAGGGTATGGTTTGCTCTTCCTGTCTTTAGTCACCACACCTGTCGTCCGGGCCAAGCTCTCCAGGCTGGTGAGCGAATCAGAGCAGGGTAAGTGTTAGAATCCACCTGCATCTGGTTCCTCATGCCCAGTGCTGCCTGAACTGGGCAGATGGGCAGCCACAGCTGGGGGGCAGTTTACCTTCCTGCCAGCATCCCACCCTGGAAAAGTAACTGACCAAGACAAACGCACTTCTGTCAAATGCCCAGGGCTGGCAGAGGACCGTGCTGCCTTGGATTTTTCCAACCCCAAAGTTGAGACTTGCAGTCAGCAGAGCACGAATGTGTTCTTTCTGGATAACTGGAGCAGAGGATTTACTTTCTCCTCAGCTTTCCAGTCTGTAAAATGGGTGTGACGATGAAAGCATTCCCTGCTTTACTGGGGTCAGACTGTATAAGCCCAGAGAAAGTGAACAACCTTCTGATAGAAGTTTCATTGTTCCCAGTTGACAGATGAAGAAACAGAGTGTTAAATTGACTTACCCAAGGTCTCTCAGTAAATGGTGGACCTAGGATGCAAACCTAGACTGTTTTTAAAAGCAACAAGGCTGGGCGCAGTGGCTCATGCCTGTAATACCAGCACTTAGGGAGGCCAAGGCAGGAGGATCACTTGAGTTCAGAAGTTCAAGACTAGCCTGGGCAACACTGACTTTATCTCTACAAAAAATAGTAAGCCAGATATGATGGCATGCGCCTGTAGTCCCAGCTGCTCTAGAGGCTGAGGCGGAAGGATTGCCTGAACCCAAGAGATTGAGGCTATAGGTGAGTTGTGATTATGCCATGGCACTCCAGCCTAGGCAACAGAATGAGACTCCAACTCAAAAAAAAAAAAAAAGCAGGTCTCAGGATCTGAGTGTTAGTCTTGGCTCTGTCACAATCCTCAGTTTCCTCATCTGTAACATGGGTAGTTTGTTCTTGATGACAGCACAGGTCCCACTAGCCTTGACAGTCTGGCAGAGTTAAATCTCAGCTTCCATGGATTATTGCTTATCTTGCAAATAAGTGAGTTCTGTTGGCATATCTATGAAGAACAGCTTCCTAGGCCTCTGGGTCTTTATGCCTCATTCTGGAAACATCTAGGTCATTTACTTTTCCCCATCTTCCCTGGAAGAAGGATCTGATGATGACAGGGACTCTGGTGTCATACGTATCACATTATAGGCTCTGGTGGCCCCAGAACACATGTGCCTTCATTCACTCAAGCTCTTTCCCCAGCAGTTTCACTGTGCCCAGAGATGTCCAGGGGAACAGGAGAAAAGAATAGCCCTTACTCACTAACTGTCTCCAGGGGCCAGGCCCTGTGATAGGTAACTTACATGTGAACTTAATGTTGCTGACAACCTGAGAAATAGGTATTATCCTTATTTAACCACAGGAGGAACAGAAACCCAGAAGGATAAGCAGCTATGCAGTGATCACACAGCTTTAAGTGTTGGAACCAGGAATCAAAGTAGCAGTTAATCCCAAACAGGATGATTCCAAAAAGGATAAGCCAAAAAAGCCATTTTCACCAGGCTTCTGTTAGACAATATTAAAGGGTTTTTTTTCCTTTTCGTTCTTTTTTTTTTTTTCTTGAGTTGGAGTCTCACTCTGTCACCCAGACTATAGTGCAGTGGCATGCTCCCGACTACCGCAGCCTCGACCTGCTGGGCTCCGGCGATTCTTCCACTTCAGCCTTCCAAGTAGCTGGAACTACAGGCATGCGCTACCACGCCCAGCTAGTTTTTGATTTATCGTAGAGATGAGGTTTTGCCAAGTTGCCTGGGTGGGTGTCCAACCCGCGGGCTTAGGCAATCCACTCACCTCAGCCTCCCAAAGCGCGGGATTACAAGCTGAGCCACCGAGCCCGGCTCCTTTTCGTTCTTTATTTGCCGGGTTCCATCAACAGTACATGTACTTTTAATGTGGCTTTCATAGCAGCCATTTATTTAGTAGCTCCTCTGTGCCAAGTACTTTCCAAGTATAACCTTATTGAACCTATCACACATGATGAGTAGGATTTACAGGTGACGAAGGTGAAACTCAGAGAAGTTAAGTGGCTTGCCCCAGGTCACACAGCTGTGAGGGTGTCAGGATTTGAACATGACCCTTTCAAGCTCTAGATTATGGTGTTTATTTCTTTACAGGTGCCCTCTTTTCTGCTGTGGCCTGTGTCAATGGCCTGGCCATGCTGACGGCCTCTGGCATCTTCAACTCACTCTACCCAGCCACTCTGAACTTCATGAAGGGGTTCCCCTTCCTCCTGGGAGCTGGCCTCCTCTTCATCCCGGCCATTCTGATTGGGTAACGCAGAGTCCCGAACCCATGCTCATAATGGTGCTCTTTATCCTAAAGGTTTTCTCTTCCTCTGCCTCTCAGCAGAAGTGGCAACTTCATTCCTGGAACCCTTCCTCTCTTGGTGTCTTGTCCCAGGCGGACTCTCTCCTTGCAGATGGCTGTCTGATCCTTTGGGAGCTGTTTTCCAAGGGCAAGGTGGAGGGACAGGAAGGGGAAGGATCAGGCTAGCACTGCTACTTGGCAGGCTATGTTCTTTCCCCCAGTTGCCCTCATTCCCTTCCATTTCCATTGTTCAGATGGAGCTACGGTGGCAGAGAGCTTCCTCGCCTGGCTGGCTGGGTCACAGGGTAGCCTGACCCGCTGACTTCCTCCCCTATTGTATTCAGAGTTATTTTCCAGCGCTGTCTACTCTGGACATTGTCCTCTACCTCTCAACTTGGGGAGGAAGGGGCTTCAGGAGGGAGATACCTGGATCAGCCTACCCAAGTAAATCCTGTGTCACCTCTCCAGATAGCAGTTAAGGGTTCCTGCACAACACATCTCAACTCTCTTTCTGGTCTCTCACAGGATGCTGGAAAAGGCTAATCCTCACCCTGAATTCCAGCAGTTTTCCCAGAGCCCCTGATTTTCCTGGACCAGAGGATAGAGGGCAGGAGGATCAGTGAACGTGAACCAACCGGAAGTCTGCACCTGGGATCCCAGCCCACAGAGGCACTAGCTGCTCCCCTCAAAGCGCAGCACTCACCTTGGACAAAGTGGTCAAGCTAGACTAAGGCACCACCTCATCCACAGCTGAGCCAGCCTCCCACTAGGATCTAGAATCATAACCCAGATAGGCCCACCCAGGGCAGGCAGCAGGGGAGCCATTTGGGACAGCAGTCTGTTCACCCTTTTGCCATCTGTCACTTAGATCCCTCCAGGACAGAGGAGAGGTCCTGATGGAAGTGACACTTCAGGAGTCAGGTGAAGCATGAGGGCTGATGTGGTTCCTTCCATCCCAAACTGCACGTTCCCTGGTAATAGGTTCCTGATGTGTGCAGCAGCTACCAGTCACTCCTCAATGATGGGTGTGTTACCTGGTCAGTGCCAGCCTTGGGAGGGAGAACAGTGCCGCTGTCGTGGTTGGGGACAGAGTGCCAGTTGTAATAAATCTGTTAAATCATACTGGAGTGAACCTTCTGGTCCCCAAGGCATTGGGTTTGGGGCTCTCTGTTTTCCTGCTCCCAGTCTGCCCACCATATGTCAGCCAACAGCAGCTGCTGGGCTGGGCAGGAGCCCCTGAGCTGCCCTGGGGATTCATCCTGGGTGTGGCCAGCCAAGGCCTCATCTGATAAGCCCCCATTTTCTGATTGTGAGGATGACATTTGGTTGGACAAGCTAGGAAACACAATTCAGGTCTGCTCTGAGATCCTTCCCACCTCATACATTGTAGAATGGGATGCTTCTCTTCATGGGCCTGCGGTGTCCTGGGGGAGAATGAATGAACTGTGGCTAGACAAAAGACCTTTGAAGGTCCCTGAGCAGCTCTTGGCCCCTGGGAAAGAGTTGGGGGAGGACCTGCTGGCTCAGCCCCAACTTGGGGCAGCAGTTAAAGCCCAGCCAAGCAGAAAACCTTCACCCTGAGGACCTGTCAGAGCAGGCTTTGGGGGAAAGGCCACTTCTGAGCCCTTTGTTTCAGGATCAGGCCTCCAGAGCCAGGCCTAGGTGGAATGTGAGGGCCCAGTTGTCTGCCCCACCATCTGAGCAGTGTCTGTCATAGCAGAGGAGGCAGTCTCCTCTGAACATGCTGACCTGGCTTGGGGGAGGCTGGTGACCAGCTACTCTTGGGGGGGCTGGAGGCTGGACTCTGATTCCCAAGAGAGACAGAGGAGGGAGCAGAGGTCAACCAGAAGGCCAGACAGGGTGGTGCATAGTGACAGAGGGTGTATCAAACAAACCAGGAAGCGTCCCTGAGTACGGCCCATGGGCCCTCAGGAGGGAGTGGGACTGACTGGAGACGAAAAGTGTCCCCTGAAGATACTCAGACACTGTACTATTGACTCTGTGAGGGCAGTGCCCAGTCTAACCTGTTCATCGTGTCTACGAGCTGGCCCTGGACCTGGCACAGGTGAGCAGTCATGCTGCAGGAGGAAAAGGGTGTCAAGTCTAGTCAAAGCCAGAGTCGAGGCCAGGACTGGCTGAAGACAGCATGGCAGGGAGGGGAATGGAAGGAAGGAGTCCCAAACCCAGAGTGAAACCTTTAACTTTCTGATGTGGCCAGAGAGCTGGGAATAGCCTGGCCCACGTGGCTGGGAGCTGAGCCAGCCTTGTATGAACCCACAGCCCTCAGGAAAAGAGAAGCAGAGCAGGTCCCAGCTGACTCCACTGGCTGGAGTTTGGGTTTATTGGAAGGAGGGTACTTTCCTTGTCCTCCGACCCCAGTGAAGGGAGGGGCAGAGGGACATTCTTACCCGGTTCTTTTCTGTGTGGCCCCTAGGTCAGCCTATTGTTGTAAAATCCTATCCCTTGCTGCTAGATTATTCTTTGGGGCAAGAGAGAAGCAACAACCCTGTCCACGGTACAGCTTCCAGGAGAGCAGTTCCACCGGCAGTGGGCTGGGTGCCAGGAGGCCTGGGTCTGGATCCGAGGCTGCCACTAATGACTCGGGAAACTGTGCTCATCACTCAACCTTTCTGAGTCTCAATGTCCCTATCTGTAAAATGGGAATGATAATGCCAGATGGAGTTGCTCTGATGACCATAGAGACTGTGGAGTGGAGTGCTTGAGAAATGGCCAAGATTTGTGAGGGATTTGTGTTTTAGAGACTTGCTGCTCAAAATACCACCAGCATTATCAGCTCACCTGGGAATCTAAGAAATTCAGTCTCAGGCCCCACCTGAATTGAATTCTAACATGATTCCCAGGTGATTGCACATTAAAGTGGGAGAGGCTGCCCTAGGTAATGACCGTCTCCCTCCTTCAAGATTTTGCCTCTTCCCACAGAGCTGCAGGTTCTGTCCAAGCTACTTTGGCTGCCGTGGGCTGCCTGGTCCCTGAGCAAGTGGGTGGACAGGCCTGGGTGGATGAGGGGCTGGGGAAGCTGACAGGGCCAGACCAGGCAGGAGCCCGAGGCATAGCACCACGGAATGGGGTAGGGTGAACTTTGAGACATGGTCTCCCTGTGCCCAGACTCAGGCCCAAGCAGGAGGCTCGTGTGCACCAGCAAGTGCAGCAAAGCTGGCTGCAGCTATAGACCAGTCAGACGGAAGGCCAGTTTGGCCCAACCCTGGCCCTGGATGCGGCAAAAGGAACCACACCAACAGAGGGCTGGAGGGGATGTGAGCCCTGGCCAGGCTGGCTAAGGGCACTGAGTGGTTATAGGGCAAGGCCACGGGGTGGTAGGAAGCGGTGAGCCCAGGGGCCAGGCACAGTCTGGGTGGAGAGCTGTGCTTGAACTCTCATTCTTGACTGGCTCCTGGGTCCAGGCCCTTGCTCAGACTATGGTGCCCAGACTGAGAGGGCCTGGGCATTTTCCTGTCTCCTGTCTGAGGCTGGCTGTCTTCATCCTCCTCAAGCTAGCTGCTATCAGGGCAGGAGAAGAGAGTGTAGAAACCCCATCTCCCGTGTCTCCAGAACTGAGCAGGGAGCCTCCCCCTGCCTGGACAGAGAACCTGATGGCAGGACCTGGGGGAGGTGTGACCCATGCCTGGCTTCCCTTTCTTTTCCAGATCCTGAGGCAAGTGGGTTCCAGATGAGCCATGAAGGTGGGGGATGGGGACAGCCACTTCCTGAGAAGAGCCCAGGCTGCCTCAGCCCAGGGAGGCCTGTTTGAAGAGCTGCTCCTTCAGGGAAGACAATGGAACTGGGAGTCGCAGCGGAGCTTGGGAAGCGGGGGCTGGTTAAGTTGGGCCCATGGGTGCAGCACCCTCCAAACTGGTGTCGGAGCCCGCGGACGAGTCCCGGGAAGAGCGGCCCTGCAGAAAGCGGATGATCTTCTCAATGGTGGCCTCCTGGTACTCGTGAGACCACCTGTGGGCACAGAGGTCACATGGGTCAGAGGGCTGGGCAGAGGGAGCGGCTAGCCAGGGCCTGTTTGCTTTGCCCACATGCTGCCTGTTGGGGTGATTTGTACTAGTCCTCCTCTCCCTCTCAGTCCCCCAGGGCCCTGGGACTCACTTGATGCCATTGAAGGTAAGCACAGCCTGCATGTCCTCGGGCAGGAGCTGGGGCTCAGGCCACTCAAAGCCATCAATGACAGGCACGATGTTCTTGCCACAGCTTAAAGCAGTCACAATCTCCTGGAGAAAGAAGAGAGGGTAGGAGAAAGACACCCTTGTCTCCATCCAGAGACCCTGGGCCAGCAGCACTGGGAGGGCCACTAGCCTGAGGCTTGGTGCATGGAGGGGCACTGGTCCTGAAGTCCACCTTGACATCTCCCTCTTCATTGTAGTATAATAAAAAATAAATATTTGATCTCTGTGCAGAACTCCTGGCACAGAGCTCCTAAACCACTTGGAATCTCCTGAGTGATAAGAGTGTCTTTTGTATGATAACGAGACGATTCCTAGCTGAAAGGTGATGGGGCACGGGGATGGCCTAGACAGCTTCAGGAAGAGGGCTGATCACTAGAAAGATGGAAGCATGATTAGAACTTTCCCCGGCCCCACAGCCTCCAGCGAAGGGCTGGAGATTGAGTTCGATCACCAACGGTCAGTGATATAATCAACCGGTCTACATAATGAAGCTTCATAAAAACCCTTTGACAGTGGGGCTTGGGGAACAGGTCTAGGTGCTGAGAAGGTGGCGCATCTGGAGAAAGCATGCAAGCTCCACATGCCTCCTCTAGACACCTTGTCCTATCCACTTCCATTTGCTTATTCCTGAGTTGAGTCCTTTATACTTGTGAAATTAAGTAAGTAAGGCTTTATTAAATTACTTGAACTTAAAGCTGTTGGAACTTTAAATTATTCTGAGCCTTGAGGAGAACATGACTATGCAACATGAGTCATGTGGCATGAAGTTGCAATTCATGCCTTTTCTGTAAATAATGAGGAAGACCAAATGATGCCAGAGATAAGACCCAGATGTTCCCTAGACCACTCTCTCTCCCCAAAAGTAATCTTCCTTGGAATATAGCTATCCATAGTCAATCAAATTGCTGTAATGTATGCATTGGTCTGGTATGGAAAATGCTGTAATCCAGCTGGGCGCGGTGGCTCATACCTGTAATCCCAGCACTTTGGGAGGCGGACATGAGAGGATTGACTGAGTCCAGGAGTTCAAGACCAGCCTGGGCAACTTAGCAAGACCTTGTCTCTACAATTTAAAAAGGCCAGGTGTGGTGGCTCACGCCTGTAATCTCAGCACTTTGGGAGACTGAGGTGAGAGAATTGCCTGAGCCCATGGGTTCGAGACCAGCCTGGG